AGAGAGAGAGAGAGAGAGAGAGAGAGAGTATTTAATGAATAAACGTAGTCTATCTAGATTTGGATCTAAATCTAGGATCCAGAATCTAGAATCTAGATCTAGAGAGTCTAGATTTTGTTATTCACACAGCCAAGAGTGTGCAGTTCGAAAAGTAGATCTAGATCTAGGCCCCTATATAAATGGTTTGCGATCATAGCCGAAGGGCGACTCTTGTCTGTGAATTGGCAGAGACACTCTAGATCTATATCATGCAACTTGACTCATACTATCATATCAACAGTCAGTAGATAGATCTACTTAATCTTCGATTCTGTGCTTGTTTCAAAGGCTTCTTTTTAGGTGCACCTGTACAATTGTGGTCCCGTTTAATGTCTCCATGACGGCCATTATTGTCATTAAAATGTCATGTGGGAGTGAATATAGATCTAGATCTAGATCTAGATCTCTAGATTCTATCTAGATCTAGATAGCCAAGGTAATCTATATCTAGATCTAGATAGCTAGATCTATCTAGATCTAGATAGCCAATATAATCTGTTTCTAGATCTAGATAGCTAGATAGATCTTGATTAGATCTATAATTTTAATTCAGTTTAGATCTAGATCTGTATCTAGATTCTAGATATTTATAATCTAGATCTAGGCCTAAATCTAAATAAGAAACACGTAAAAATTACTACAGGGGCACTTTTTAGTCCTTGGGTGATTTAGAGCAAACGGGACGGCTATTGTACAGGAGTGTCATTGTTTCCTAGCTTCAGTTCATGATCATTGATTCTGACATTGGGGAACAGCTCGCTGTGTAGTTAATCCAGATCTAGATTAAGTCTACAGTTATAAGCTGGACTCTAGCAGTGCCCGTATCTTTAGTTTGAAAAATATCAAATCTATTGTATATTCTGTTTGACAACAGTTCATTGCAGAGCACCATTGGCTGTTCTGTGGTTTTTAAACTGTAAGATCTAATCTACTTCTACGTTTCGTAAACTCATAGATCTAGATCTAGATCTACATCATCATGTTCAATTCCACTACACTACCGCTTTCCGTTCATAACATAAAAACCCTAAATTTCTCAACTCACTAGATCTAGATCTAGAATCTAGATCTAGACTATATTCAAAATGTGAACAAAAACCAGTCAAAATAAATACCCTTCAGTTTATATGGAGAAAAAAAACCCAAGGCAAAACTGTCATTATGAAATTAAAAGTAGGCAGCTATTTCAGCGAGTTGAACAGTGTGCTTTTTCTTCCTGTCGTTTGTTTACGCTTTAAACGCGCAGCTAGCTGGTTACTAAGGAGGGCCAGTTGGAACGAAAATGAGGCTGCTATAATTAAATACTCTCTGCTGTTGTCCCGTCTTGTCTTATTCCGTCTTGGGTCTTATTCCGTCTTGGAGGGTATTTCCCAGTGTTACTATTTTAAGAGACCGAAGAATTCTTCAGTCTTGGGGGTCATCACTCGTCGATGAAAAATCTTTTGCACTTCCGTACAAACTAAGTCTGATGTCTGACGTCATAAGCTATGTGCAGTTTAGTCACAGTAAACAATAACTTCACACGGAAGACCATTTCACCATCGCCCTCAGCGTCATTCTTACATTTGTCTTTCAGGAAGGCTGCGAGATATTCACTGCTTTGATTAAAAATGGATGGTAAGTTTTATTCCCACACCAATTAATACTGGTTCATTTATGCTCTCAACTTACTGTTTACAGGCCCAAAGGCAAAAGGGCCATGGCCAAAAAAGTCAAAACTGTTCTGCTAAGGCTTAGTCTACTAATTTACTCGTCCTCGGCACAGGCTTTCGGGCCTAGGAGATCGCAAATTAAGAAAGGAAAGTACAAGTCAGAAGTGACAGTGCATTCTCAAGAAAATAGATTTAACTCTCCTAATCCCATCCTATCACAGTGATCTGCCAGCCAGAATTGATTTCTTGGATTTTCCTGAACAGTCCAGAGCCAGAATTAAATCTGCACAGTCATTAGTCATTAGAATTCGTGTTTGTATCACTGACGGCCACCTCTATTGAGAATAGTGCAGGCGAGTCTTGTGGCTATTCTCCCCCGGTGCGCGTTCACCAAATTTTGCGTCAACCCTAAACCACAGAATTCTACACTGTGATAACAGAAAAATTGTAGAATTCTGTGCCGTGAACAAACGTTCCATTACAACTGTAGCCTACTAAAACTAA